GCCGACGCGTGGCCCCGCCCTCCATCGGCATGGCCGCCGCCTTCAGCTCCTCGCACGCGCAGCACGACGACGGGATTAGCTGTTGGAGCTGCCGCACGTCTGCAGGACACACCAGTCGAGCAGCGTGGCTAGCCAGCACATGCAAGGGGCTCGTGGCTTGTGGTGACGATTAGGCCCGTCTTGCCTCAGCCGACGCCTCGTTGCACATCGGTGACCAACAGGCGCACGAGTCACATGCAATGCAGCTGCAGGTGTCCTTGGATGTTTTGGCTTGCCTGGCATGTGGCTGCTATGCTTGGCCAGGGCTGCGTGCGCTCGGGCGGGGCCTGCTCGCCAACTGCCAAGGGGTCGCGCCAGCTGGACGAGATCACCTTGAGCGACCACGTCAAGGACATTGGCCGAATGCAGGAGTCATCCTGTGCCACGACGACGACGACGGGCGCATCGCCGCGCGCGACGTCAACGACGATGGCACCCTGGACGTCATCCAGGTGCCGCGCAGGCGATGGGCCAGGCGAAATCCCCTGAAGCCCGCGCGGCAGGTAGTTGGCAGGCCGGTGCGCCGTCGCGACGGTCGGGACGGCGACGATGCTCGAAATGCCGAGCGGGACCCTGTCGTCAGTTCTCAAAGTCCTGGCGTGCCAATGCGGCGACCAGGCTCAGTCGCCATGGGCGTCAGATCGCAAAGCCCTGGTGTACCATTGCGGCTGCCGGTCTCGCCGCCGTGAGCCCAAGCTCGGCATCGTTCTGGACGCTGTGGATGATGTGGGGGTCGTGATGCTCGTGGGCCCGCTGAGCGCCACGAGCCCTCGCCAGGGGGTTGCCGCTGGCGCGAGGCGCGGAGAGTGCGCCGCTACTGGAGGGGTAGCGCGGGCGGGTTCCGATCACCACGAGGGCCTGCGCGATGGCCAGGAGGGGGCAGGGGAGCAGCCCTGGGAGCACCCCAAGGCACCCCCCCCGAGGCAGGCACCGCCACGCGACCGCTCCACGGGCGACACCCGGTCGGAGGCTGACGAGGTGGTGCGCGCGGACTACGGCTCGAGTTCAGATCTGCTCGAGGTTCCCGTCGAAGGAGGCAGGTGCAGGCGTTTCTGTGGCACGAGGCCGCCTGCCGCGCAGGCGCTCGGGCCTGGCGTCAGTTTGCGCGCTGAAGCACTTGCAGTGTAGGTACGTGGCCGACTTGCTGCAGGACATGGCGGTGGTACTCGCCTTGCCAGGGGAGGTGATGAGCGTGGCGCAGTGGTTAGTCGCGATGGGGACTGCCATCGCAGTGCCCACGTCTCGGAGCCGGCCTTAGAAGGACGTTCTGCAGCTGAGGTGCGTGACCTGCTCTCTGTGGGACGCGGCGATGCAGGCATAGACATGGAGCCCGACACCGTGCTCGACGCCGAGCTGGAAGACTCCGAGGCGCTGGACCCCCCTGATGAGCTCCTCGGAGGCCACCGTGGACGAGGACGGCATCGAGCTGGACGCGGGGGGCATCGCGTGCCTCACCGCGGCCCTCACGCGCTGCCCTGCGGCCGAGGGTCGAGGCGCTGCTGGATGGACCGCGGCAGAAGCTGCTGGCACGATTGGCGCGGGGCGGTGCAACGAGGCCATGGGTGCCCAGCAAAATGGGTCGTCGGCTACGGATGGTGGGCTGGCGATGGCTGCCCTCAATGACACTGCTCGCCAGAGGAGCAGTGCGCCTTCCCTTGCTACGGGAACCCCGTCCGTTGCTGGGCCCGCTGAGCTGAGCAGCGCCCCATCTGGGAGGTGGCCGGGCATCGACGTGGCCAGCTCGGCTGCAAAGCGCGCCCTCATCATGAGTTCGCTCATCACGGCAGCCACCGTCGAGTTCAGGGCGGACCCCGACGTCGAGCCCGACGCCGTGGCCGACGTCATTCCCGACGTCGAGTTGAAACAGCTGGAGCCCTTCGACGAGCTGGACCAATCCAAGGCGAGGCCACCTGCCTCGCGCAGACCCAGCCGCCTACAGGCCCCCCGCGGCATTGCGTGCGGCACGGTTGGGGAGCGGCACCGTGGCCCACGTCCGCGCGAGACGTCGCGACCGCCTGCGCAGCCGCGGCGGCTGCCCCACCCGCCTCCGTCGCCGCCCGCCATGTCTTTCGGCGAGCCGGTGCGGCGGGTCGCGGGGCCTCCGCCAGCCTGCCGCAGGCAGCGCGGCTGAGGCGACCAGGCCAGGTTGCCCGCGGGGCGGGCCGCTGGCCAGGCCGCTGGCCGTGGTGCCTTTCCACGGGCCGAGGGTCGAACCCACCGCGTTCCCCCGCGGGTGGGGGCCCTCGCCCCCGCGCCGCGCAGCGGCGCGCCGCTGCCCCCCCTCGTCCACCACTTCCTGCGCCTCCTTCACCTCCTCGATGCCTTCCTCGACGCTCTCCTCGATGTCTTCACCGTCGAATCCGCAAGGTACCCGGGCTGGTCATCGTGATGGTGCTGCCGGGTGTCCGCAGATGCCGGCGTCGATGCTCTGGGCTCTGCCGTCGAGGATGCAGGCGTGGCCATAGCAGCGTCGCGCGCGTCGTCCTCCCCGCCAGCTGCGACGGCCTTCCCCGCGCCCTGCCCCGGGTCCTTCCCCGCGCCCTCCTCCGCCGCGCGAGCGTCGGCGTGCGCCGCGACGTCGGCGGCCGCGATCTCGGCGGCCAGCGCCGGCCTGGTCGCCGCCAGCCAGAGGCCCGCGCGGGCAGCAGCAGCGGCGGCCGCCGCGCAGGCGCCCGCAGCGGCGGCGGCGGCCGCGCTGGGAGCGCCTGCGGCGCCGACAGCGCCAACGCCAGCGGCGTCGGCAGCGTCTGCGGCGCCGGCGGCGCAGACCGCGGGGGCCCACGGGAGGGTGCGGGCCGCTCCTGCGCCCCGGACCGAAGGCGTCAGTGGCGCCCGCGCTGCTGGCCGCGGCGGGCGGCCAAGCCGCGCTGCCCGCGCCGACCGCCCAAGGGGCGTCGGCGGTTCTGGCGGCGGCGGCCGCGCCGGCGGCGCCGGCAGGACGGCGCGCTCGGGCCGCGCCGACACGCCCGGGCGTCGGCAGCGCCTGGGGCGCCCGCGGGGGCGAGCGGGCGAGCGGCCCAGCCCGCGCCGACCGCCCAGGGGGCGTCGGCAGCGAAGGTCGAGGCGGCGGCGCCAGCAGCGCTGGAAGCGCTCGCAGCAGCAAGCGCGCCGCGGAGAGCGGCGGCGCTTGTCGCGTCAGCAGCGCCAGCGGCGCCGGAGAGCCCCGCCCGCGACGACCGGGGCGCTGGCGGCAGCGGCAGCCGAGCGGCGACCGGCAGCGGCGCGGGCCCGCCGCCGTCGCCGCGCCACCGCGGTCTCCATCATACCAGGGCCGGAGCGCCGCACCTGGCCAGGGGCGTGCTCGAGCCCAGTCAGCTTGAGCCAAATGGGTCACGGTCGCGCGCGCGCGGACGCGCGCGCGCACGGACGCGCGCGCGCGCACATGCGCGCGCGCACGCGCGCCACGCGTGCACCCGCGCACACGCGCACACGCGCACGCGCGCGCGCACAAGCGCACGCGCGCACAATCGCACAAGAGCACGCGCGCACGCACGCACAAGCGCACGCTCGCACACGCGCACGCGCGCACACGCGCGCACGCGCATGCGCGCACACGCGCACACGCGCGCACGCGCGCACGCACACGCGCGCGCATGTGCGCACGCGCGCACGCGCGCTCGCGCGCACGCGAGCACGCGCGGACGCGCGCTTGCCTGCACGCGCGCACGCAGACACGCAGACATGCACACACACACACCCACACGCGCACAGACGCACACACGCACACACGCACACACGCACACCCGAGCATACGCACACGCACACACGCACACACACGCACGCACACGCACGCGCGCACGCGCACACGCGCACACGCGCACACGCGCACGCGCGCACACGCGCGCACGCGCACACGCGCACACGCGCACACACGCACACAAGCACACAAGAACACACGCACGCACGCACACACGCACACACACACACACGCACACACGCACACACGCACACACGCACACACGCACACACGCACACACACGCACACACGCACACACACACACGCACACACGCACACACGCACACACGCGCACGCGCAGACTTGCACGCGCACACGCGCACACGCGTACATGAGCACACACGCACACGTACACGCGAGCACACGCGTGCAAGCGCCACGCCCACGCACGCGCACGCAGCACGCGCACGCACGCGCACGCACGCGCACGCGCACGCGCACTCGTGCGCGCACGCACGCGCACGGACGCGCACGCACTCGCACGCACGCGCACGCACGCACACGCGCACACACGCACGCACACGCACGCTTACGCACACGCACGCACACGCACCCGCACGCACACGCACGCACACGCACGCACGCGCCCCCCCCCCCCCCCACACACACACACACACACACACACACACACAACACACACACACACACACACACACACACACACACACACACACGCACACACGCACACGCACGCGCACGCGCACGCGCACGCGCACGCGCACGCTCACGCTCACGCTCACGCACGCGCACACGCACACGCACACGCACACGCACACGCACACCCACACCCACACCCCCACACACGCGCACACACACACACACACGTGCGGACTCACGCACACACGCACACACGTACACACGCACACACGCACACACGCACACACGCACGAACGTGCAAACGCACACGGGCACACACGCACACGCACGCACGCACGCACGCACGCACGCACGCACGCACGCACGCACGCACACACACACATACACATACACATACACACACACACACACGCACACGCACACGCACAAGCACACGCATACGCACACGCGCTCGCACATGCACACGCACACGCACACGCACGCGCACACGCACACCCACACGCATACACACAATCACACACACACACACGTTTGCTTCAAAGTAATGAACCTTACCCCCCCGTGGCGGACCTGGGCAATTTTCGAGGAGTCGGCGTTGCGAGTCGTGGAGCGCGCTTGTCTACAGGAGGTGGTCGCGCTGCAGGAGAAATACTCCGCCAGCGAGGCGACCTGCAGAAGAACGGCGTCCGAGCTGAAGGACTCGCGTCGGGCGCTGACTGCCTCGGAGGCCCGCCTGCTGGAGAAGCAGAGGGCCGCCGAGATGCTGGAGGCAGAGGTCAGGCCGCTGCGAGCCCGCCTGGGCACGCTCGGCAGGAGCTCGCCGTGAAGACAGCGGGCCTTGAAGCAAACGGGCCCACGTTTTGGCGAACGCATGGCGCCAGACCTGTTTGCCCAGCCTGCGTCATGAACGTCGTGTCTGCACGCTACATGTTGCGCGTTGCGCATCCGGGCGGCTGAGCTCTTTACGTGTTCTTTTGGTCGTCTTCGGGCCAGGCTTCCAGGGCCGTCAACGGAAACGGTTCAGGAAGAATAGTATCATGTAGAAGATCAAGGACAATAATGATAAGGACCCACCCGCCCGCGACCAGCCGCGACCCACCCGCAACCCACCCGCGACCCACCCGCGACCCGACCGCGACCCACCCGCGACTTGCCCGCGACCCATCCGCGACCCACCGGCGACACACCCGCGAGTCGCCCGCGATCCACGTCCGACCCACCCCGCGCCTTCCCCATCACTCTTATCCGCAACTGCGGTGTGCTATATACGGATAAGAAGAAGAAGGAGAAGACGCAGAAGCGGTCCTCGTGGAGGGCCCCAGTGCCCAGCACGGGCTTCCCACAGTGCCAGTTCTCGAGGAAGCGCAGCCATGGATGAAGGCGCGCGGGTTAGCGACGAGTGCCGTTTCCGTATGTGCAGAATCGGCGCTCTCCGTCGCAGATGCAGGCGGCATTGGCCTCATGCCTCGGGGAGCATTTTCGCAGGCGGTGTTGCTCCCCCACCACCCGACCTTTCGACGAACATTGAAGCCGCTCAGAAAAAGGATGGAAACCTTGGGACATCGGGCTATTCTGATGCACCCTTATCGAGGATGGACGCCCCCCATGATATATCCCAGAGTTGGGCTCTAAGTTTTTATTCCATACGAAACCCCACGAAGCCTGGGATAGGTGTCGCCATATTCCCTGCCAACCTTCCCCAAGCCGTGGAACTTAAAAAGCAACTCGCGGAAGCTTTGGTCGTCCCCATGGCGCCCAAATTGTTCTCCAAATTGGTGCGCAAAGCGGACATACTGCATCTTCCTCACCTGACGCTATTGGTCGTTATTGGGCGCTACTTGAGTGCTATTCGGCGCTTCTGTACGCTGTTGGGCGCTACTGGGCGCTGTTGAGCGCTATTGGGCTCTACTCTCCAAGACGAGCGGAAGCTTCCGTGGCTTACTATCGAGTGGATCCATCCACGGATCCGTAGGCACAAAAAAAGTGCGAAAGGTGCATGCTTCTTCTCCCCCCCTCGATTGTCGCCCCTGCATCCAGCAACGCCCAATCAATACTGTCGTGCGCCCGATTTTCATTCGTGCCCAAAGGAACACCCACGAGATGGCCGGCCGGCTCGACGAGCGTGGGCGGGAGCTGGAGATGGGCAGCACCAAATTGTAGTTCTACGATGTGTGCGCGTGGGCCCCTCCAGGGTCGACGTTCGGTAGCAAATCATGGGAGGAGGAGGAGGAGGAGGAGGCACTGGCGTGCGCTAGCGTCAGGTCATCGATTAGGAGGCGCCGATTCAGCGTCGATCAGTGTCGATTTGGCGTCGATTGGCGGCGACTGTCGTCGATTCAGCGCCGGACTACGTCGATCCGCAGAAGAGTCATCAAGATGGCCTGGGAGGCTGTTAGGGATGCCACCGACGGCGGCGGGCGCTCTCTGGCCACACCTCCAGGGTAGCGATGTGCTACATTGTGTTTATAATGCTCCAACCTACTTCAGCCTCGATCACCAGAAATAATTTCGAGCACCAAGAAGGGTACCCAAACTGGTGGATTTTCTCGTGTCGTGCCCTGGGAGGCGATACTTGCTCGACACTGTTTCAATACTTTCTGGGTGCTCGGAATTATTTCTGGGATGTGGTCCTGAAGTACGATGGGGACAACAGAACCTTCAGTTTGGGGTGTATGCCGGGCGTGCGGCTCCACTGGGGGTGCATCCTATCAGGAGATGTTGCTGTCTCCTCCTGGCGCGCAGCGGCTGTGACACCGCACTCGTTTCTATACCCGTAGGTGGGTGTACATTGGCATTGGGGGCGCGCATCAAGATAACAGATGCTTTTCGTCAGGGTATCCTGGGTTTCTTCGCTCCTCGCGCTGCGCGGTGACTTCCAGCAGCCGTTGAAGGAGTTGCTGCATTCAGGGTGCTCCGGGTTTCCCCGCAGGTGCCACGGGTTCTCAGGGTTGGGTTTCTTGCGAGGGTTTCTTGCGGCCGCGCCCGCACTGTATGTATGTGGAGCCGCTTTTGTGTATGTGCGTGTGCGTGCATGTGCGCGGTATGTGCCCGGCATGTGCCCGGCATGTGCGAGCTTTCTGGTGGCATGTCCTATTGTGCATGCACGCCCGGGCATGTGCAGGTTCATGTGCGCTGTTTTTCGTGCATGTATGCCTGCGCATGCCAGCACATGCCGGCGCTCATGCCCGCACAGGTATGCACATATGGCACCTGCGCGATTATTGCAGACCTGCCAGCGGCACATGCACGCACATGTTTGTGCAATTCCCTTGCGGATGACCGCGCGGGCGCACACATGCACTCGTACGTGTTGAAACGCGCGTCCGCACATGCTCGCACATGCCGACGTACATGCCCGCACATGCCCTCGGTGTTGTTCGGGATCCTCAGAAGAGCCTCCCGTGTTTTTCCTGCCCTTCGCAGGATTTCCGGGGGCCTGCCAGGGTTTCGCACTAGCTTTGTGCGGCCATGGCGGGATCCAGCGCCATGCATGCGGAAGGAGCCTGCGCGCTTGACTCGCCCGCTGCTGCTGGGAGTGGTGATTCGCCCGCGGGTCACGTCTGCGACAGGTGCGCGTCGTGTCGACCGGCAGCGACCCCAGCGCGGGCGTTTGAGCATGAGCGTTAAGTCGGGCGTGTCCCTCAGCAGGAGGCATCCTCAAAACAGTTAGTTATTTTTTGGTATAAGTGGAATATTTTCGGTGTTTCACCCACGGTCCGTTTGTAGGGGGACATGCCCGACCTGAAATGAACGCCGCATGTGGCCCATAATCGGCTTCATCCTTGAACGATTCAGTTTTTTGCTGATTGTACAAGTTTGAACGATCCCCGCGGTGTCAGGAGAAATCGCCGGGGTCGACACGACGCGAACTTGCCGTATGTGTTTCACCCGTTGTCGTCGTCTAGTGGCCGTGCAGAGTTTGTTGGCGCGCCCTGTGAAAATATCGTTCCCGTGCTCTGCTCGGCTCGGCCGGAGGAGCAGGAGGAGGGGGAGGTCATAGAGGAGGACGAGCAGGAAGGGGGGCACGCAACTCGCATATCGGACAGCACGCTGGATAAAAGCATCCAAGGTCCCAGGGGATATTCATATTCCTCTTCCTATATTTTTTATGAGCCCGGGCGGGGGGACGGGCGTCGAAACGGCCACTGGGCCTCGCAGGGCGTTTTGCCAAGCCTTCCCAGCGCACTTAGGGCGATCAGTAAATATGCTCCTCTCCGCCTCATAATCAATTAAGACATAACTTAGTTTGCATGCATTGCACTGTCCGCTGGAACTGACAGCTGCGTTCCGCAGCTGTATGACTGCTCGAGCAAGCCAACCTTGGCTTGCAGGAGAGAAAAGGAGTGCGGTGGGGTGTGCGGGCGGCTCGTCGTCGTCCGTCCTCGGCCGACCTCCTCCCTTCACATTCCTGATCGAGTAGTCTTTCTTAGCGGATACTTGTCTTATCAATGTCTCATCCCGTCCCCTTTCTCCCTGAGCAGAGTGAACATGAGATCTTAATCCCTTTGTCATATTACCCCGATTCTCAGAGGAAATATTGGTTATCAGCCGAAACGCGCGACTCAGTCGACGCGGGGCCATCACAGACAAAAGAAGATCCTTCAACTGTGCCCCGCGACTCAGTCGCTGCGGGAAGGAGCTATGATAAGATTGATATCGTGTCCAATCTCCCGAGAAGCGCCGATAGGCGCGTTGTACAACATGATGGACACGACGCAGACAGAGACGGTCCAGTTCAGGACCGAATCCCTCCTTCATACATCGCCACTCGGGTAGTGAGGGGAAAAAGTACCGAGGGGATAACCGAAATGTCGGTAGACGTATCTCCCGCGGGAGCTCCGATTGGTGGTCGTGAGCAAACCCCGGACCCGTGCGGGCGAGATGGCGTAACATCAAGACCTAGACGAAGTGCGTTTTCGTCATGGAGTGCCAAATCGACGGAGTCAATCAGCTCAATTCCGAACACTCCACACGCTACTGCTATTGCCGCTGGTGAAGCCGGCCAGCCAGGGGAAGTCCAAGGGAATAGGAATACGTATCCTAATCTCCCGACCGAATGGGTGGGCACGAGTGCCAACGTCCCAATCCCAATAGCACTTAACGGACAATTCGGTCAGGGCAGCGATGACCCAATTGAAAAAGATCATGCAATATATTCCATGGAGGAAGATTTTGATAGCATCAATACTGATATTGTCCTGAGCCGAGCATTGTCGGTGATAATGGAAGAAGACATCCCTGCTAAAGACGAAAGATGATCTCCAGATGGATCCGATGAAGACACTAGTATCCTGACGCCTGAGGCGGACAGGGCGGAGATCCAGATGAAGCATGAGAGGGGGTCCACCGGACGAACCCCCGCGCCTCACTTCAAGAAGCAACGGAATGAGGACTACGAGTTAAACGTCTCGCCACTGAAGGAAGGTTTCTTCCGTAATGCCACCACCTCAGGTGATTGGCAACCCTCGATTCCAGCTGTTGTTGAGGATGAAGAAATGGTCGGACAACCAGCTACGCATGCTCAGCTAATAACACAAGACGAAAAGGATGAGGAGTTCTTAAATGCGCCTAAACCACCAGAAAGCACCTTCTTTCGCCCCATATCAAATGCGCCAAGCAGGGGAAGACCCAAGATACCAAGATCAGGGGCGAGATCTACTTCAAGGAGCGACTGTACCGTTTCCATGATGGAGGCACGTTGGAACCCCGAGCCTGACTGCGCGCCTCAGGCGGAGAGCAGTTGCCCAGGAAAAGCCAACAGGCCAGAAGGCGCATATAGGAACCCAGTGTGCAAGAGTTGCTCGGACGTTTGCAATAAGTGTAAGATGCAATGGCTGTGCACGGAGCGTTGCCCAATGGGCGAGCATAACTGCGCGTATTTCCTCATGCAGTCTATTCAGGACCAGGCCAGGCTGGCGGAGGCTAACACTCAGGGAGAGTTTCCGACCAATGAAGCGCAGCTGGCCGAAAGGGCTCGATTGGACAGAGAAGAACTAACTGAAACTGTGGTCGAAGCTAGAAAAACGTTCGAGGCTGAGCGGATCGCCCCAGCCATGGCTGCTAGAGAGCGGGAACAGGCGCTGATAGAACATCTGTATAATCAGATCGAGGCCGTTAAATGGCAAGTGGAGCGGGAAGCCGAAAATAATTACAGAGAGTTATTGACTTCGGAGAGACAGGCCGCCACGATGGCAAACAAGGAATTTGCCGACGCCAGCGCGATTGCCGCGGCCGTCGCGGTGGCCAGGATAGACGGAGGGCAGATCGCGACAGCCATGACGGAACGAGAAAAACATGGCTTACAAGAAGAGCTCAAAAACGCCAGGCTGGAAGCAGCGAACACCCAAGCCGTAGCTGCGAAGATAACCGACCATAACAATCTCTATCTGGAAGAGCTCTAATCGCATGAAGAAGCTAGATCTTCCCTCCAGCGCATAAAATCGAGCAATGCTAAATGCCCGCCGGCTAAGCCGACTGGAACGAACATGCACCAGTTGTCTACGGCCCAGTCGTCTGGCATAGTATCCGTCCCAACGCAATCTGATCAGGCGACCTTGACAAATGCGGGAGCATCGACCCTGCTGGTAGGAGGAGCAACGCATCCTCCTCCCGAGGAGAAGGGAAACACACTCTCCGCGGATGAATTATGTGCCTTTTGTTTTCGTCTAAAGACGGACAATTGCGTCGGATGTGGCGGGTCGGCATGCGAAGAACATATCGATGCGAGCACTAGAAGATGCGCTAGATGCGACCCGTGGAAGAGTGAGAGATCAGCTGCCAACATGCGAGAAGAAGAGATTGTTTCGAACGCAGCTAATGCAGAGAAAGGAAAGATGAGGCTTAAGGCTATCATCACCGACCCGACCCCATATACTGAAAATAAACGAGAAGCCGGGCTCGCATCGAATTCATTCGGCTTTCCGTTGCTTTCGCAAGAAACTCCGGTGAGGCCGCTATTGCGTCGACACTTTACTATTCCAGGCCCTGCCCTAGAAGGTCCGGCGAAGCCGAACACCGCCGAGAATGGACTTCCTGTAGGGATTAAGCTAACTGGACCGAACTAAGGTAATACTCTCGCCAGTTACCGCCCATCCTATGGAGACGGCCCTACGGGAGCGACGGCGACTAAGTCGTCGGGCGAAG